GGGGGGGCGGGCAAAATCTGAATGAGGTGGGAAGAACTGTTACCTCTGGGTAACACTGGGTCCTGTGCGATGCGAGCTCGGACCGCTGGTGTTCTGCACTTGGGCTTGCTGTTGAGCAGCCTCTGTTACAGGGCAGATTTTCTGCATGGCTTTGAGGTCTCAAGTGCCAAATATATTTTGCAAGTTAATTAGAATAATTCATTTTTGCTTCCAGAATATCAACAGTTCTATCAATGGCATTATGGATAAAAAGCACTAATTATTCCCTGTCCTCCTTCCCAGGCCGTCTCCACTTGGCTATATGGGGTCTGTAAAGTGGCTGAAGTGAGGCTAGTTGTCCAGTGGACTCAAAACTGACTGTATGAGACTGCACTACGGTCTGATTTCCCTGAACTAGAGGTCCATAGGTGCGCGGGATCACTCGCCAACGACCTCTCTAATTCAGTATCAGCGACTTGGTAAGATTGGCTCTTTGGTAAAGCTGCCTTTTACCTTTTGGTCCTCTTCCCTTCGCACAAGGCTCCGGCTGGTCGTGCTGTGTCCCCTCTCTCCCTGCCCTCACTCCAGGGGCCGGCAGCGGGGCGGTGCTGGTGCCGGGTGCTGCTAGCCCGTGGCACGCTGGTGACTCTGGAGACGGGAACAGCGGAGCCTGTGCGGGATCATGCGAGTGCAAGGAGAGGAGAAAAGACTTCCCGTCGAGGGAGATGTGTCTAGTGCCACATTTCAGCTGAGAGTGGGACTTCCTTTACACACAGAGCCTTGGTCCTGGAAAGGGTGATGCAGCGATTGAACGAATGAAAAAGATTGTTCCAGCGCTTTGTGTAACATTGAGGGTGCAGAGCCGCAGGTTAGAGAACACCTGCTGTTCGCTTGTCCTCTCTATAGCAAAACATCATTCTCTGGTTGCTTTAATCCTCTTAAAAGGAATCAATAGTTTTTTCTTACCTGGGATCACTGGAAAATTAATGTCATTGTTACTGTAGAGTGAGTACTCCTCTATCTTCACATAGTGTGATTAAAAATGTAAAGTTCGCTGAGGCGTGGGAAGGCTCTGTCTGTGCCGGGGCTGGCAAGCCGCTCCATGTCTCCTTCCTTCAGCTGCAGCTCCTGGCTCCCTGCCTTCTTCCCTTCCCGCTCCGCTTCCAGAGGGCCATTCTCACCATTTCCTCTTTGCAGATTTTTCCCCTTGATACGGTGTCTTCATTCCAATGCTAACCTAACTTGTGAGTGCCTCTTGGGGAGGAAATAGGTGATGTGAATGCTTTTTATTTATTTTGTTAAAGGTCTCTGGGGAACACAATGTGTGCAGAGTGTTGTGTATACGCTGGAAACTGGAGGCGAAAGGAAGGAAGAGGGTTTTGCAGGGGAAAAATTGGCCAAAATCTTCCTTTCAGTTAGGATTAATAGGTTTTTCTTCTGGGCTCTGAATGCTGCGTTTGTATTCAAATTAAGGGGTTCCCAGGGGGGACTTCCAGGAATAGATGTGGGGAGGAGATAAAAGCACTTTCCAGAAGGGACGTTGGAAATGCACGGCACTGAGTTATGTGCTGTTCGTGAGTCTCATCCCTGTCGTCTGTTCCTCTGTCTCTTGGAGCTTGTGGGGTCTCCCCTGTGTGCAGAGCTCCGGGGATGAGGACGCTGTTTTCTCAGCATTTGAGATGTGCTCAGTGCTTCACGAAGGTGACGGGGTGGGATGGGCAGGTGCTGGAAACCAGTGTCCCCAGTGCAGCCGCTGGGTCTTTTGTGTGGGGGTGGAGAGTTCTTGGGTTCAACAGACCTGTTGCTCCTCTGCAAAGAGTGTTCTGAGACTCGTGGCCAGGCTTTTTCCTTTTTTTTTCCCCCTTCTTTTTTCCCCTTCTTTGGTGTTGCACCTGTGGTTTGTTTTCTCCTGCTGGGAACTGGTGTTCACATGGATTTCTGCATGAGAACTGGAAGTAGGGCAGAGGCTTCACCGGTGTTTTCTTTGGCTTTCTTTTTCTCCGTTGTCCTCCCAGGGGCCATTTTCCTTCATGGGAGACATGAGAGCTAGTTGTTGCCATACCTTTAGTTGAAAAGTATATTACTTCTTCTCCTACAGCCTTTGTATGTGTGGGATGGGATGTGAGGATTGCACTGCGTGGCCCCTTCTGAACGTTGGAAACAGAAGCCGTAGTGTTCCTGTCTTCTGTAGGCCATGAAGGCTTGTCCGCATTGCCTGTAGCGTCCATCTCCCTCCTTCCCCTTCCTTGAAACCCTCTATGCAAGTGAATTTGGGGTTTCTGGGACTTTCTGCAGTGGTGAGGAAGCCTCATCTTCCCTGGTGTGCACCTGTCCTGGTAGTTCTGAGAGAGGAGATGGCAGCCTTCTGCCTTCCTGTAGAGCATGAGATGTTGGAAATGCCGACACACGTGAAGCTCCCTGTCTGGCTGCTTCGTGTTCGTGCCCCCCTCATCCCTGGTAACGGAATCGGGCAGGCGTGTTTGTCCTGGACCGGCCCCATTGCCTGGAAGGGCCCCAGTAGAGACACGCTGCACCGAACTGCCTCTGTCATCAGGTGGTAAAGAAAGTAATTAAATGATAATTCTGGGAAAAAAAGGACTGAAAAGTGTACACCATGATTTAGGTGACAGCTCACGCACTGCTGGCAGGACTCATACTTGATGGCCACTGCGCATTGTTAATTCTTAGGATTTTCTTTGATTTAAAGCTTCGTGCTACTAATCTAATTAACACTGAATTGGCTTTCCAGTACAGTAGCTTGTTTGGTTCAATAAGAACACATTTGTACTAAAGGTTAATGAAAAGAATTCTTCTTTCATTGAATTCATTAAAAGTGGTTCTACAATCAAGGCTTACTAATGGAAAAGAGATTAAATATTCATGTCTAAAAATTTTTCATGTCATTTCTGATTTTCCTTAATCTCTGCGTCCCTGGATTAGATTCCAAAAGTGTTTGAAAGCTCTAATGAAATACTAGTTTGGATATTAATTGGAGATTTATCCTGTTTAAGTAAAGAGACTTCCACAGATGTATACTTAATCTATCTTGAGAGCAGGTTTCTATTACAGATGGAGAGGAATAGTGATGAGGTCTTATCCATGAAAGCAATACTAGAAGCCAATCTCAAGGAGCAGTATTAGGTTCTTAAAGCACTTTTTAAGAAATTCAAATAATGTTTCATCTTCTGTTCTGACAGCTTTATTTGTGCTATTGGAATAGCTTTGAATGAACCAAAAGTGCAGCAAAGTTTGCATCAGAAAGGTATTAGAAAGGTATGGAGATAAAACCTGAATAATGGGCATTGGAGGTGCTTAAAGATTCAAGACCTTTTTATAACATAGTGTCCGGATGAATGTGCTACAAATATACCAGAGTACTTTGAGTAAATACTGGATTGTGATTTCTGTGATCTCTTACCTAGTAGCTCTTGGAGAAGTTCTGGATACCCTTTGAGTTGCAGCTTTGCCATTGCTTTATGTATGAGCAGAACGTGTTTCTGCAGTTCTTGCTTTGTGTGTAGGTTGCTGGTACCCCGATTTAGGGAGGTGGGGAAGCTCTGTTTGGGAATTCTTTGCAGCTGCATACTGATGCTGTTGCTGATGTAGAAGTGGAAATACATGGTGAAACTACTTTGAAGGCATTGCACATTCCCATGAATGGTTTCCTTGGAAAGGAAAAGACAAAGAAAAATGCTCTTGTAAACATGTTCAAAATTATCAGAGTCTTGCTTCAATCTAAGTGTGTATATATACATGTGTATATATATGTGGTATGTATATGTGTATATATACTACACCCAACAAGTGGGACAGTATTGGGCAGTGTCTCCTTTAGGGAATGTGTGTGGAGAAAGAAGATTTGGCTCCTGTCTGGATCTTTGCATCGTGTTTCATTGCAACTTGAGCTTTCAGTACATTTTGGTCTCTACTAGTGCTGGTGTTTATGTTGGTCTCATTGGCAAGAACTGATGAGAAAGGAAAGAAGTTATTTGTATGCTGTGTGAGCCAAGAGAACAGAGATGGAGGTCTCGAGAACGAGCATTTGGTTATAGGTAGATAAGAATAAGTAATTGTCCAAGTCCAAGGGGAAAGCTTTGGCTTAATAGTAATGACCATGCCTGGCCTCCAGAACAGTTCAGAGGCCTTGCAGAGGTTGAGAAAGTCGTTACACCGAGGGGATGAACGACTGGGTGGCAGTCACAAACCAAACCGTGGTGTTGGATTTTTCTGGTTATAGCCAGAGTGACCACAGAACCCAGAAAGTCATCGTGTAGCCCAGCGTCCACCAGCACGAGGTCACAGGCAGATTTGTTATTTGTGGCTTCTCCCAGTTACGTAATTGGCATTTCTTGTCTTCCCTTTGGCTTTCCAGGCATACTTCCGACAGGGTGTGGCCCTTCAGTATCTTGGACGTCATGCAGACGCACTGGCAGCGTTTGCGTCGGGACTGGCTCAAGATCCCAAGAGTCTTCAGCTTCTGGTTGGCATGGTCGAGGCCGCCATGAAATCGCCCATGCGAGGTAAGCACTGGGAGATTTTCTCAGGGATCGTGATCTGCTGTGGAGGTACTTGGAGGTGGTAGTTTCAGTCCATGGGTGAGTCTGCCAGCGTCTGAGGGGGGGAGAACCCGGAGGCCTGAACGGAAAGATTTTGGAATTTGACTTCTCTGCTGAGTCAGCAGGTGCTGAGAAAGGAGCCCGAAGTAAGAGGAGGAACAAAAAAATATTCTTCTGATTTAGTGGGACAGCGAGATGGTGGTACCCAGATGGAGAGGCACTGGAGATGAATCAGACTGGTGGTGTGCAGCAGCTCCAGTGAAGTCCTTGCTAAAAAAGTTCCCCGTGTAGTGAGGTGTGCGCTGCTGTGGCCCTGGCTTTGTTATTACTTGGAACAACTTCCCGCAGTGCTCTGGTGCTTGGCTGTTGGGAACAGGGAGTTGGAAATGCTCCGGGGCAGTGCTGGCCCAGAAGAGCACATCTGCAGCTTTTCCATGGTACTAATGTCTCTCAAAACGCAGTGTTCCAGAAGGCAAAAAGGCTGCTCTGCTAATTCACTTGTGTTCAGGAAGAGTCTTGAAATCGCATGGACCTTGAAGCCATATTAGCTGTACAGCATTTTGCTTCTCTATATCCCCATTTCCAGGATTTTCCTGTCTAGAGGAAGGAGGTGGTCTCCTCTCTGCTCTATTTCTCTTGCAAGCTTTGTGTTGCAATGTCCTAATGGTATTTCCCAGGAGGGAATATGGCAATTCTCATCCTCGGCAGATGCTGCTGGGGGCCCCGGGGCTTAGGGGCCAAGAAGTGCTGAAATGAAAAAATATCCCTGATGATGTTTCCTTTTCTACAGTGTTTTTCTCCATCCTCTAAAATGAATTCATCTGGAAGTTTCTGTCCTATATAGCAGTTACCTTGGGAAGCAAATTTAATTTGATACCCAAAGGTGCTGTGGGTACTGCTTAGGATGCAGGTGATGCGGTATTTATACGTAGGCATCCCCAAATTTGGCTGGATGATCTCTCTGTTGTATTGCACTGCCACTGTGTATTTACACTGCAGCTCCCTGCTGTGCTTCTCAGTGTTGCTGCTTTCCAGTTGTTCGCCTCCCACAGACTGGATTGGCAGATTTTAGATTAGCCTTGCTTATAAAGCACTAGTTTTACTATGGGAGTGTGTGTCTACTGTACTGCTGTAATGGATATTCTGGATCTTGGTCGCACTATGCTAGGCGCTCTGCAAGCACTTAAGTAGTTGTTACGCGTTGTTCTGGTCCCCTTTCCAAGAGCTTGCTGTCTAGCAGGGACATGGAAGATCTCTCCGGGTGTCTGTGGTGTAAAGCCAGTCCCTTGTAGCTTGGCCCCGCCGGGATAGCAGATTCTTTGAAGCTGTGGACAAACTGATGTGAGTGGTGGCTTCCCAGACACTTGCGTTCAGAGAAAGGCAAACGGGCCATAAGTGTCAGTGCTAAAGATGATTGAATGCAGACACTGAGGGGTTCGGGGCACGGGTCCGCAGTATGTAGAGACGCAGGTGAAACTCCCATCCCCAAGAACTGAACCGCTGTTGCTGCATCTTTCACCTGGTTGTGGCTGTGTTTCTTCCCTTACCGTTTGCTGTTGTACAAGAGCAGTGATGAACTCCACATCTGCCTTTCTGTTATCACACTGGTTCTCCCTTTCCTGCTGGACTTTAGGGTTAGCAGGAGCACTTCCCTAGTGTTTTCCTTTTTTTCCCTTTCTCTTTGTCTGTACCCCTCTCTCTCCCTGTGTTTGCTTGGATTACCTGGCTCGGGTCGTAAGTAAGCTCCTTACGAGAGGACCTGAGTTTGTACCTGCTCTTGCAGTGATCAGCGTGATAAGTGGTGGCATGTTACAGCAACTATTTCTGTCCTCTTACATCTGCATTTAATCCTATATCTAATTGGATGTCGGTAACTGGCATCGCGTTCACATTGTTTGCATCTTCAGGGAGGTGTTAAAATCTTCTTTTGTCATTGTTAATATAGTTGGTGATTGTAGAGAGGCAAAAATGATGAAAACAGGGAGCAAGTGGTTTTCTGAGGTTGCTGTGGTAGTGTTGATTCAGGTGAAAGCGTCTAATCAAAAAATGCCTCTTGGTCAGCAAATTCTGGAGTCCTGTTATGTTGATGTCTTTATTGAAACATGCAGCCAAGATGTTTTATCATCTGAATGGTGGAAGCAATTAGACCAATTATAAGTAGTCTGGCAGGTCCAGTGCTGTCATTCTGCAGGAGTGACTTCTCCTGCAGAAGAAGGAGCAGCTCCTTTCTGCAGTTTTGGCACCTCTCTTGGTGCCGGTTGTGTGCTGTGGTGTCTGGACAGGCACAGATTTTGCAGGCGTTCAGCTGAAAGTTTGTGCTGAAGGAGCAGAAACTGCAGTGCTCTTACACGCTGCTGATGGCCCATTTCCAGTTCCCTACAAAACTCTACAGGCGTTTTCTGTATTCGTTCCACCTTTAGGCCCGTCTTCAGAGCGCAGTATGAGACCGCTCTGAATGCTTCTTGTGCTGTCTCCATGAAGTGCTTTCTGCAAGGAAAACATCAGCTTGCTAGTTGATCTCTCGTGTTGTACTAAATGTTAGATGATGCGTTTGAGCCCTGAGTTCTCATAATAAACCTTGGTTTGATTTGGGCAGTGTGGCCCTAAACTCGCCTGTCACTTGGTTACCAAAAAAAATGAAGATGTGTTGTGAAGGTGATTTCTGTATGCAAATAACTTGGTCTGTTGAGTGGCTCTGCCTTCTTTTTTGTGTTTCAGAGTCCCTCGAGCCCACCTATCAGCAACTGCAGAAGATGAAGCTGGACAAGAGCCCCTTTGTTGTGGTGTCTGTCATTGGCCAGGAACTTCTGACTGCGGGCCACCACGGGGCCTCTGTGGTGGTGCTAGAGGCTGCCCTGAAGATTGGCACTTGCAGCCTAAAGCTGCGGGGATCAGTGTTCTCCGCGCTAAGCAGTGCATACTGGTCCCTTGGGAATACGGAGAAAAGCACTGGATACATGCAGCAGGACTTGGACGTAGCCAAGACTTTAGGTAAGAGTTCTCTTGTCACTCGCCGGAGTGCTGGATTGGTACAGGTGGAACAAATTAATAGCTGTTTTAATGATCAGCATCTCTCTGTAATGCTCAGGTTTCTATGGGATTTCACAAGCTGCTAAATCAAATCTGAAATTTCTGAAATGTGCAAACGACAGGCTTGTGCAGCCCGTTTACCTGTGGGTGAGAGGGCAGATGATCAATGAATGTCCTAATATTTTACACGGTCCTGTAATTTTCTGGTGTCATGTATGTGGGAACTGATCTTATCCCCTGTGTAGACTTGGGTGCAAAACCTTAAATGAGTCTTAAATGAAACAATCTGTTTTTTCAAGAATTAAATGGAAAAAGGTACTCAGTCTGAGCTTCAGAGGCGGTTGCCAGGGAAGGAAAAAAATCAGGCGTGAGACAATGGATATAAATATAGACCAACTGCAAAATCACTCTCATGTACGGTGTATCCTGCACAACACTGAGAGCTTTCAAGCTTTCAGGGTGCATAGGAGAGGAGAACGTATGTAAGACAGAAAGGCGTAACCTTGCAGAGGTGGAGAAGTGAGTGATGGAGGGCTCCACCAAGGAGAGTTCACTGAAAGTGTAGGGACTACTGTCTTGAAGGCAGTAGTAGATGTGTTTTGTGTCTGAGCTGAGCTGTGCTGTGGAATTGCTTTCAGGAGAAAGCCGGCATGCTCTTTGCTTGCTTTAAGCCTGGGCCATCGACTCACTTTCACAGACAAATTGCTAATGTCAAGCAAGGAATAAACATGGAAGAATGCGAAATTGCCAAGAGTTAGGCCAAAGCAGAAATTAAGACAATTCTTAAAATGAGGTCGATGGGTATTGTAGAAATTTCTGAAGGGCAGCAAAGAGGGGAGATTTGGCTGTGTATTAAACATAAGGATGAGTTTGTTCTGATGCTGGTTCTCACACTGGAGCATCACTTGTACAGTGTGTTCCAGTCTTTCTGCCGGATGCTTCCAGCAATGTCTTTCTTAGCTAACCTTTGTTTTGTTTGCGTGTGACTCA